TAGTTCCTATGGGTTTCTTCAACTAGGAAGCTATGGAACATTTGTTGTATGTCTCCAGAGATGGCAACAGGTTCCATACGAAATCTCAGAAGGACATCAAGCAGATTGTTTGAAAGGTCAGGTCCAGATAGGAGGACGCTATTCAGGGAGAGTCCTTGAAACTGTGCAGACGAGTCGAAAACAGCACGAATCTGACCTGGTTTCTGGGGGTGGTACACCCCAAATATTGGTAGGTACCAACACTCTTCGTTACTTGTTAATGGCGGAGCTACTTCTGCATGCTTGCTTTCAAATACGCGTTGCATAAATGTCACCATGTGCTGGAGTTTCACAGGATCTTTGGACAGACTAGCATGGAGATTCTTAGCACGGTTAAGTGTCTGTAGTCTATTATTAGGCAGTGGAGGATGGTTTTCACAAAACGGTAGAGGCGCTACCCAATTTCCATCTGTATCCTTGTGTAAACTCTTCTCCATCACTCGAATGAACTGCTTGTCTTCAATGGAGAGGCCGACCCTGTTGTCGTCTTTATTCCTGGAGAATACTGACGAACCTATGCTGTCCCACTTCTCAGAAACATGAATCCTGTTTTCACATGGTCTAAACAATGTAGGACGTCCATTATCAAGAACAAATGTTTTATTCACTGATATTCGATTTCTGTGAACTTTTCCTAAGCAGGTTTCACCCACAATGATCCATCCCAATCTTAGCCTTTGGGCAAATGGCTCGTTTCCTGATCCAACCCTCTGGTCAAGAACATGATGACCGCCAGGCAGGTTGCGTCCAATCAGCAAGAGAGTACGTGCTTCTGAAAGCGGAGGAATGAATTCCTGAATGTCCATCAAATGAGTGTAATGATGTGCAATTTTCGGTGTCGGTATTTCCTCTCTCACATCAGGAATGTTATTGCATTCAATCAGTGGCGGCAGGTTCATCTTGACACTTCCGTCTAGAGATTCAACAACATATTCTTCAGCCACACATCCCGAAAACACAAAGGAACCAGCACATGACGCAAGAGAATATGCCACCTCTTCTGAGTTCACATCCAGAAGATCAAGAAGGTGAGTAGTAGCTAGAGATCTGTTACTCTGATCGTCGAGGAGAGCATAAGTCAATACAGACTTGTCAGGGCGACAAGAAGAGTACACCCTTACCAACAGTACCTTTGCACAAGACTTTCCCGGGAATGAAGAATTCTCACATATTTCAGTCGTACTACTCGTTGAGTTCCGCGAGTTTTTTTTTTCCCTCCCCGCCGTGCTGTGGAGAAGCTAGGATAGACGATTCATTCTCCTCTTGCTGTTTTTCTCTACTGCATTTGCTTGTCACATGTAAAGCAGATGGATGATCCTCACTGCCAGAGTTATCACATTTTGTTCTCTTTTGACAGTCACGTTTCACATGTTTATCTGAGTTACAACATCCATAACATATCTTGTGGTCACTGAGAAATTTTCTGCGAACTTGAATTGGCTTTGCTCGAAAGGTTTTGCATTGGTTAAGGGAGTGACACGTCTTGTGAACTGGACATATGCTTTCAGAACTCACATCAGTTTTCTTAACTCTTATAGGTTGTCTGAGTGGAGTCAAGCGAAACGTTTCTTCCCTTTTTGATGTGTACTGCAGAGTTTGCTGAAAACTCGGATTGTTCATCATTTTGGTCATCTCCTTTACATAATCCATAAAGAACGTAAACGGTGGAAAGGAAACTTTCTGTGAAGTCTTATATTTCGAAGCTCTGTCCATCCACTTCGTCTGCAAGTTGTATGGTAGCTTAGCTACAACTTGGTTGACTCCAGACGATGAATCAAAATACGCAAGTAAGGAAGAGTAGGTAGGGTTTTCTTTAATGGACGCAATCTCGGACAGGGCATACAGTTTATCAGTGTCCTTGTTTGTCACCTTAGAAAGTTAGTCAGTTTTTGTTTTAGGGCACACTCAATAAGTTCTGGCCAACCATACCTGTCGTCTAATCTTTCCCACACTTTCCTTAATGCTTCTGCTGGGTCACTTGCATTTGCGATCCTTATGCTATGGGCATGTTTCGATGATTCTGGCCCGAGCCATTTCAAAAAGGTCCAATTCTTCTCTAGGGTTGACGCCAAGATCCTGTGATATATGTACGAAGGAGGACTTCCAGACAGGAAACGATTCGGGCTGATCATTGAACACTGTAAAGCGAGATAGCAGTAAATCCTTCTTCATAAGGAAACGTGTAAGTTCATTTGCCATAATGTTGTCCTTAAAATCAGTGGTAGCAGGAGTACTTGTATGAGCCTTGGCAAAAAATGCCTTTGCCTGAGGATTCAATGACGTCCCAGCTGGCACAGAGTCCCGTGAAACACTATCCAAGTCCACACAGGGATCAGGTACAGTAGGTACAAGTGTGGATATAGGTACGAACTGTCGACTAACTCTGGGGGTATCTGAACACAGTGATGATATCTCGTTACAGTCTTGAACATTAGAATGTTGTTCTTCTTTCACGTGTACACTTGAATGTGGCGAATGTTTTTCCACATACTGTTCCACAAGTTTCTTCTTATCACATACTGGAATGTCAAGAACACTGTTTCTTACATCCACATACTCCAAGTCCTCCACTTCTGCAGCGGCTGCGGCTGCTTCACTTTATCGACTGAGTAACTTTAAATCAGCTTCTAATTCACTGTTTTGGCGCTCTGCCTTAGCTATGTTTAACTTGCGAGTTTCCTCGATAATGGCCTGTTGCTTTTTTATCAAAGCTTCTGTTTCGGCAAACTTCAACTTCACACGGGTAGCTTCTGCCTTAGCACGCTTCCGGGCTAGTAGTACTGAACTGGACTGGGAGATAGCAGAGGATCTCACGGAAGTTGCTTCTCGTTTCACGACAATGTCAGGGTCATAGGTGCAGTTCTGTAGATCTGACTCCATGATGCACAATCCACGGATTTTTTACTGTACTGACTCAAACTCAGTAAGATAACCAGTCATCAAGGAATAGGACGTTTATTCAACATTGATGTCCATATGCATGAGCATGGTAAAAAACTAAAACATATAAAAAAAAACAGATACTTAGTACAACATGAATCACAGTCACAATTTACACATTTAAACATGGCACTTAATCATTTAATTTGCGTCTATAAAGTATTGATATATATAAACAATAATAAATGTAGTCCTAATATTGCAAGTATACACTTTCAACAGAAATTAACAAGTTAATGTAAACAAATATTTGCCAAGAAACATTGTAGACTAAAATAGACCTATGACTAGGAAATTCGGATGCAAAGAATTCACTCAAAACATGACTTAGACAAAAATCCTGACAATAATCATTTAACACATACTTTCGGAAACACATATAAGCATTTTATACAATAATACATGAAGAAAACAACACTTACTCCGTGCTGGATCAAATAAAAGTGCGATACACAAGGAGCGAGCACATGTAAACAGCGTATTCTAAACGTATGACAAAGTAAAAGATAAAACCTATGACATATAAGTTCCGTATTTCCGGAAAAGTTCTAACTTGGGGCAGCACAATGCTGGTGGAAGTGATTGTAAGGATTATTTTTAAAATATTTGTAAAAATTCATAGGAGGAGAATGTTCTGTAAATGAATCTTGCTTGGGATGGAAATAAAATCCCTTCTTTTTGTTACAGATTAAGATAGAGAACGGAATATACCCTCAAATGTGTGGGAAAGAATTTCTAATGAAATATTTCAAACATTAACAATACCAAACCCCGTCCCTAGCTTTTCTCAGGTACATTATGATACATTTATTTTATTTAAGTTACAAAATGTAAATAAAAAATTGTGCATTTGCGATGAAGCAATTTATGTGGAACACTTAAAAAATATCTAAATGACGGTCAGGTGATCAACTGCGTCATGTGATATCGCAACAAATGTGGTGATGTGAAGCTGAGAGATCCCTTTTCCCAAATCGTCTGTATTTACGATCACATTCAACATGTTGAAATCAACATCGAATTTGAAAATGTAATGACATGTTTTTAACGTAATTTAATGCTGCTGGGAGCCTTAAAACATAGCTGCGTTTTCATAGTTTTCGTGATTTGTCGGAAACTAGTCGAGCGATTTCAAAGATTTTTTTTTTTTTCAGGAATGTTGCATCATTTTCAAATCATTTTTATCATATCATTTTCTTTTATTTTTGTAAATCACTTGCGGTCGCATTTTTTATCAGATTTTCATTTTCCAAATTGTCATTTTGTCCACGCATTTTCAAATAAACGACTCAAGACAGAATCATGATATTTTCAAGGAAGATAGAAAATTTCTTTAAGTTATGCATAACCCTCTTTTTTGCATCCTTACTGCCAATTGACACCGGGGATGATGCTTAATTTAGCGTTTTATAAAAAAAAATTAAACAGTTTGCAATAAAGGTATATAAAACTAATGTTTATATGGATAATGGACAACAAACACAATCTATAGGAATAACCACTGGTGTAAACCGGAAGCAGCCGAAAAATAAAGTTTTTCTCTTAAATCATTAGAAATAGTATAAAATGACTTGTTATCGAGTTTTAATTATTTTCTGGCCTTTTTGAATTTAGAATTTTGACATCAACTGGAAGTGACGACATAATGACCGGAAATGTTGGAATCGGAACCGAAAGTTGTGGGAAAATAATTTTTTTGTGTGTGTCTAAGTTTTTGGAAAATTTGCCTAAATTTATTCTTTTTAGGATAAAATCTAAAAATACATACTTTCGATGTGAATCGTGCATCGGAAGACATACTCGTTGCATTGCAACGAGCTATGCTATAGTTATATATATATATATATATATATATATATATATATATATATATATATATATATATATATATATATATATATATATATATATATATATATATATATATATATATATATAAATTTATTTTTTTTTAAATTTTATTTTTTTTTTTGAATACATTATATTTGAATATATCGGGCATCTTTTAATCGTTGTTTTACCGTAAACTTCTATTTCACAAATTTCCAGGATAGGACTGGTATCTCTGGATTCAATAGAGATGTACTTGGTTTCCACAATTATATATCTTACTGTCTGTTCACACGGAATATCAATTATATTGTCAGGTAAATCTGGATAAGTCGAATTGTCAGTATAACATCGGGTTCGCTGACTTGTGGTAGTCGATGCTGCTGGTGAATCTGAGACATCCAAATAAAATTGCCTAAATCTAAACTGCTTCCAGTCATTTTGTTGATCACCTGTAATATTAAAAAAATATTTTATGAATTAATAAAATTCACTAGCCAGTAGTCACTGGACCCCTTCAACAGTTTGATTTATTTATCTGTAAATTTATTTGAGCAGTGAACATTATGAATGATTTCTGAGTTATAACTCAATAAAAAAGATGGAATATAAATATAATTTCAGTCGCCATATTGTTCTACTGACACCCTGCTCACTAACATGATTTTTGTTTAATGTGTAATTATGGAATTTGTATAAAAAGGACAATCTGAAAGATCCGACTTTTCAGACAAATAATTGAAGACTATACTTTTATAGAATAAAAATACTTATGTACAAAAATTATTTAAAATGAATCTCTTAGCTGTGGGGACCGTCACGGTAGCTCAGGCGCTGCTCCAGCTTAACACATCATTATTGTCTTTTTTTCTTTTTTTTCACAAAATTGTTTTTCACTAATGTGCATATTTAATAAATTTTGTCAGCAACTCATTTAAGAAAGTTAAGGTATAGAGTACATATGAAATTACAGAATACAGATTTTGTTCATTCGTTGATTTATTCATGTTCTACATGTTTATGAATTGTATTGGACTAAAATCTTTTCCCTTCGTTTGAATGTAGGATGTTGCATCAAGGAAATCAGTAACGCAAACGACTACAGACAACAGAAGGAACAATACAACAAAAGCACCCTCCAAAAGAGCAAAAACGCTGTCCCCCTCCTTAGATTGATATGCCCCTGATCCACTGTAAGTTCCACTACAGCTGTGCGGGTTTCACCTCAACAGTTTCCACACCCAGCTCCTGGGTCACCTGTACAGGCTTCACAATAAGCCCTACGGGCTACGCAGCACCATCTTAAAATTCCAATACCAGCTCCTCAGCCACCAGTACAACCCCCACAACTAGCTTTGCAAGCTCCACAAGAACCTCTCCAAGTTCCACAACATTTTCCTCGGCCACCTACAAGGACCCAACAACAAGCTTTACAAGCTCCACAACAACCTCTTTAAGTTCCACAACAGCCTCCTCTGCCACCTGTAAAGGTCCGACAGCCAGCTTTGCAAGCCCCAAAAGATCCTCCTAATGTTCCCACAACAGGCTCATCGGTCACCTGTTAAGACCCGAAAACCAGCTTTGCAAGCTCCATAACAACTCTTTTCACTTCCGCAACAAGCTCCTAAGCCACGCCTGCAGGACCAACAAGTTCTGGAAGATCCACAACCTCTTCCAATTCTTAAACCAGCTCCTCGGGTACTTGTACAGGCCCCATAATCAGCTCTAAAAGCTCCACAATACCCTCTTTAAATTCCACAACCAACTCCTAGACCACTTTTTCTGGCCCCACAACAAGCTTTACAACCTCAACAAAAACTTCTTCCAATTTCACAAACTGCTCCTCAGCCACATGTACACGCCAAAGAAGCAGTTCTACAAGCTCCACAACCACCTTTACAGAATTGCAAGTCGTAAGAAACCTTGTCCTTGATAGTGCGGGGAGGTTATTACTAAAGAGTCTACAAAATGTTGACTCTATAGAAAAATGGACTAACCCAAAGTACATTTTTGCATCAATTTTTCTAGCTGCACATCCCTCCAACTTTGAGGACAATTTTTTTCTGTAAATTCACAAGAATAACAGATTATCAGTCTACTTTTAGACCCAAACAGTCATGTGGAAGTACATTTATTTCTGTAGTACATGTAGATAGATGGCTTAAAAATATTGATGAAGGTAACCTTACGGGTGTATTTGATATACTTAAGGAAAGCATTTGACACTTAAATCACAAGGTTGTATTACAAAAGCTCATGTCCTTTGGTATATGTATATGTAAAAATACTTTCGAATGGTTTAAATCATGTCTGTAAATCATGTAGAGAGAGTTAGTTGGAAAGGGGATCTTTCAGATGAAAATAATGTAACGATCAAGGTTCCACAAGGCTCGTCGCCCGCGTGGCGCAGTGGTTAGAGCGTTCGCTCTAGAGTCGCGGAGTAAGGAGTTGATCCTTATGTCGCGGGTTCGAATCCCACTGTGGGACGTGGAGACCGGTCCTTCGGATGAGACCGTATAAACCGAGGTCCCGTGTCGCAGTAGGTGCTGGCACGAAAAAGATCCCTCACTGCTCAATGACCGTAAGTGTCGAGTATAGGACAAAATTTGCAGCTCTCCACCGGCAAGTGGTGGCGTCTCCATATGAGTGAAAAATTCTCGAGAGGGACGTTAAACAACATACATACATACAATCCACAAGGCTCCATGTTTTCTTTTTTATCCTGTACATTAATGACCATCACAAACACTGTCATGTAAATATATTTGCAGACGCAGGGTTCTCCATTATATGAAATTTTACTGTGTTGCAGACTTTTCGTGAAGCCCTATATATTCGCGGTATATTAATTCGCGATCAAATTCGCAATTCAACCACTATTCATTATAATTACACAAGCATACACGCACACACAACAGTTTTGAGTCACTTATTCCTTACACAAATGGTATGATCGTAATATTAATAAAAAAAAATAATAAATGAATAATGAAAACAATTAGAATGTCTCCAATTATATATAATAATGTACATACTATAACTCAAACCAACTGAACACCCCCACCTCACCCCCACCCCATCCCACCCCCACATGCACACACAACTTTAAAAAAATACGATTATAAGAAAAATACTTAATATATAATATACTTGTATCAGTATTTACAAGTTGTAAGTATGAAACCTTGATAATTTTGTATATATCTTTATATTTTACACATGCTCTGAAGAGCAGAGGAAATTCTGGTCGATACAATCGAACTACTTGCCATCTTTAAAAGTAAATTTGCCGTGATTTTGTTTGTTGATCGAATTACGGGTATGTTTTTGAATATAAAAAAGAAACATTAGAGCTGAAAATAGTTTTAGGGGTGCCTTGAAATTCTTCAACAATACATGTACATCAATTAAATTACGTTATGGTGTTTGACTCACAGAGCCATCATTATTCTAGAGACGAGATTCTGAAGTAAAGAAATATATTTAATTAATTTTTATATATCTAAATAATATTTAAAAATGCATTTAGCAATTATTTCGGTTACATGGAAGTGTGAAAACAAATGATTTGCCTTTGTCCTTCATGCGTAAAATTCAGTGAGGGTCTAGGAGATAATGGATAATGCAAGGTGAAGCAAGACAATGTGCCCTAATTAAAGAGATAATTTAATGCCCTGCATTAAAAATTGAAAGACGGTACATTTGTTTGATTAAAGTTTCAGTTATAGAAAATTTATGTTCTGATTTTCTGATTATCACGGATCTTACTGTGTCGCAAAATATTTACTGTGTCGCACGCATAAAATTTGAATTGTTACTGTGTCGGGGAAAATTTTACAGTGTCGGGCCCGACACAGTAAAACAGCTGATGAAGAACCCAGCAGACGATACTTTACAAAATGTAACAAATACGAGGGGTTACCAAAGAGTTCGTGCACTGATGCGATGAAATTAATATTATGTAGTTGTTGATTACAAAATTTGTAGGGAACATAAAATAACAACAGTTTAAGAAGTGTTGAAAATTTCAGCTTGATATGTTGATAATTTGCCAAATTATCATTAAATAAAAAGGGCATTATATGATCACCCAGCGCTGTCGCCGTTTAGTTTCATTACGTCCGACAACGTCATTGTTTCTCAATGCCCGCTCCCTCTGCCTCAGTACACTTATCTTGATGAGATTCTCTGGAGTAAAATACAGACCTAAACCAGTCTTGTTTATATGACTTTACAATATCATGAACAACTGATTCCAATGCATTAATATTGTAAATATTAAATCTATACATAGGAAAAAATCCTCGCTTGATTTTACCAGCATAATTTTCTTGCCGCAGTTCAATGTCAACCAATAATCAACGTCACTTTTCGACGTGTCTGACTTTGGACACCCTGACTACAAATCGACATTAACCGTGTGTCTCCTTTCTTGCTAAATCTGTTTTTTAATTAAAAAACAAGTACTCTGGATGTATTTTGTTTCTCTGTAATCTGTTTAAACATTTTCTAGGTCTATGTCAGGTTTTCCAGGGGCTGAAACTTTATAGAATGTTGTAACGTGACACCCTACCCCCTTTCGACGTCATTTTTAACCCTTTTATTCTTTGGACATTCCCTATAATATATACGATAAATTTCATAGAATATACAGAATGAGGTAAAAATTGCAACTTTTACGGAAAAATTGTGTCATATCACATGAGTGAATTAATTGGATTTTCGGATGACAAATGCTCATATTAGAAGAGTTTTTCTCAGTTACACTCAGGCAGAAAATACGTTATGTTCGAGGTTACGCCGCCTTGACATACCACTGCTTACAAAATCACTTACTTTTCACTAAAAAATAAAACTTATGATTTATAGTTTATTTTACAGATAGAAAAGAAGATGCTTATTTAATGTTTAAAAATTCATTGATGTATCTCAAGCGGTTTAAATTTTATGACGCCAGTCCACGAACTTTTTGACAACCCCTCGTAAGTCAGTAGAAAACATAGAGTTGAAGATGAATTAAGAAAAATGAAAGATGATTTTGATCTACATGTACAATGCAGTAATGTTGGATTGAGCAAAATAAAGCATAAATCTGTCTAAAACTCAATGTATTCTTGATGGAACCCCAAAAAGATTATCAGAATGTCAAAAATTAAATTTGGTTGTAAATAGCAATATCAAAAAATTTGTTCAGAAGTCAAAATAACTTGGTAATATTTATGAAACTTTCTCCTGGAAATGTAATATTGAAACACTTATGAACAAGATTTCCAAGAGAATGGGCATTTTACGAAGAATAAAAGACTTTATGTCAAATGATGCATTGTTGAAATTTTTTCTACTGTAAAAGTGTTGCACTATATGGAAATGTTGTAAATGAGGAAAAGCGTTTAATATTGCAAAGTGTTGTTGCTAGGGTCATTTTGAACATACAAAGTTTTCAAACACCATCTTTGTCAAGCATTCTGAGACTATTGCAATAGCAATACTAGTCCCCTACCGGCAAGTGTAATCTGGTTCCCGTTAAAAATTGAAAAGGCCATAATTCCGTCAAAAATCAATGAAGCAGAACGAAATACAAATTTGATCTATGACTCATTAAGGTAAAGTCACATACCAAAAATCAGCTCAATATCTGCAAGCGTTTAGAAAAAAGTGCGGAAAATCCATCTGTCTGTCCTGCTGTCTGTCTGTCAGTCTGTCCCACTTGGTTTTCCGCACTTTTTTTTTTTCTAAACACTTGCAGATATAATATTGAGCTGATTTTTAGTATGTGAGTGTATCTTTATAAGTTACAGATCAAGTTTGCATTTCGTTCCGCTTCAATGATTTTTGAACGGAAATAGGACCTTTTCAATTTTTCAGGGCTTCCGGCAAATTTTCTTCTAAACGCTTGCAGATATTGAGCTGATTTTTTGGCTTTACCTTGATGAGTAATAGATCAAGTTCGCATTTCGTTCTGCTTCATTGATTTTTGACGGAATTATGGCATTTTCAATTTTTAACGGGAACCAGATTACACTTGCCAGTAGGGGACTAGTATTGCTAATGCAATACTCTCAGAATGTTTGTTTATTTTAAATTCACAGTTATTATTCTTAAAATACCTTAAATGAACGCTATTTCTTTTGTATTACTAACAACTGTCTATTGTATGAAGGTTATATGCAGAACAATAGTGAAAACTTCCATTGTTCCTATTTGTCATCCTGGATAAATAAAGGCTCTATTATTATTATTATTACTATTATTATTATTTTCTTTATGTAAGAAAGTTCTTCAGGGAGATCTTTCATTTTAAGTGACAATATATGATACATATAGTACATTGCCATAAAGAGATGTAAAATATCAAGTTATGCTCATGCCTTCTTTTCTGTAATATATTTTTACACTTTTTATGCTGTATGGCCTTCCAAGATCCACTTGAAACCAAGCCGGTGAATTAGTGTTCCAAGGAGCTGTATGGGCACAGTATTTTTCTGTAGTCCTTAGTACACCATCGTTTGCAAGTGAAGCATCTCTATCATTGTACGTCGAACTTTGTGAGAGCTGTGTTGTGTTTTTTCTGCTAAGATTATCTGTTTTAATAAGAAAAGAGTGTTTCATGAAGACAGCAACACATTTTTTGCGTATGGCAATCATTAATGAGTACACCTTAAAAAAATATGTCTGTATCAAGTTAGGGTAAGATTTGTACATTTTAAGGCATTGTAGCACAATTCATATTTAGTTGGTATGTTTCTTCTTCTTACAATCAGACAAAGCAAATACTCAATGGAGTTTTCTGATCGAAATCAGATAGATATATCCGTCAAACAATCCACCTGTCAGATAATCTTTCATATATATATATATATATATATATATATATATATATATATATATATATATATATATATATATATATATATATATATATATATATATATATATATTTTTTTTTTTTTTTTTTTTTTTTTTTTTTTTTACTTTAGTAGAACATCGCCGATGTATAACTAAAATACTTCCGACTCAGCGTTAAACAATATTCAATCAGAAGAACTTGACAATTTCTAACTAAACTTGACACACTCTTCTACGTAAAGGAAATAAATGCTTGTTGAACGGGAAATTGGAACGAAAAGACAGAGTAAGGCTATTTAAGAATATTCTCAAGAATCACTGGACTGGAAAAGATGACAACTAGGTTAAAGGTTCCTAAGATGGGGTAGATTTTTTTTTTTGTTGAAATCAGGCACAGATGGATCATTATTTTCACATGCAAATATATATGACATTTAAAAATGAGGAATAATTCAATAGGAGAAATTGAGTAACTTACCTCTCATATACATTTTTGCAAGCATATTTTGTTTTCTGCTGCTTGTGCGGACATATCTACATTATGACAGGGAATGATTTGTTTTACATGTCATCATAGCAGTACCACTACGTAGTGATTATGTACTTTAGTGTCATTAAGTGTTAGAAAATCAATTAACACTCTCCTTGCTAATTGGACCAGAGTTTTTTTTTTCTTTCTTTTTTACAAAATTGAAATTTTATTTATTGCGCTGTTATTTTTTAAACATATGCACTTCTTTTCACTATGAATCCAAACAAAATCAATGGGGTTAAAACTTGATAATATGGACGAGTTTGAATTTTATCATTACCAGCACGCAAATAAAACGGATGAAATTGCCAGGCCATCTCTGCTGATGTTCAATCTACTACTACAGCAATTTTTTCAGTTGATGTCTTTGATGATTGATTGGTTGTATGATGTTTTATGTCCCATTCGAGAATTTTTCACTCATATAGAGACGTCACCATATACAGGTGAAGAGCTTCAAATTTTGACCTTTTTCGGCACTTAGGGACATTGAGCAGTGTGGGATCTTTATCGTGCCAACGCCTGCCGTGCCAGGGGACCTCGGTTTTTAAGGTCTCATCCGAAATACCCGCAACTTTCACTTCATAGTGCCGAGCGCATGGAGAAGGAACAATTGCTACCCATTTTTTATCGACTTAGGTCAGTCGCGGCCGAGATTCGAACTCACGACCTCCCGATCACGGAGCGAGCGCTCTACCGACTGAGCTACCGTGAACGGTGATGTCTTTGATGAAGTTATTTTTGTAATTGGACAGCATTCCAACACTAGGTTCGCTGCATTTTGTTTTCTTATTTAATAAATCTGCCTCAAAGAAATTAAATATTCTGACCTTCTAATAGGTCATTTCTTTTTAATTTAGTGTTTTTGTATTATTTGTAGGGCTGGGTATCGGCTGTGAATTTCGTATTGCAATATATTGCAATATTTTAACTGTATTGCGATATGTATTGCAATATTATTAATAACAGTTAAAATGATCTTTTCTTCTTTATTTACCTCCATATATAAGGAGAGTGTATATAATTGTTATGAATATGTTGCCACAAAGAAAGTTTTTCTTGTTTTAACTACAGTTTTGCAAGGAAATGCAATAATAAAACAGCAACCTTACTGTTTGGCACGATTGGAAACTTTTCTGCATATTAAATTTCATATTTTACTTCAGAAATTCCTAGCCCCAGCATTTTGCCGGTATATCGGTACTGAAAAAAACGTATTGCAATACGATATGTTTTGTCAAAGAATCGCAATATACCGGTATATCGATATTATTGCACAGCCCTAATAATTTGTTTTTTGTGTGATTCAATATGCAGTTGTAATTGTTATCCACTTCAACAATATAGAGTGGATGTGTCCATCTTGCAAATGAACAAAAACATTTTTTTTATTTATTTAGATAAACATGTAATTTAATGGTCTGCCATTCATCCACGCCCTTATCTTTGTAACTATATACATGTCCAATGATTTCCAGCAATGTAGTTTTTTTGAATTTAGTAAGCATTCCCCCCTCCACTATTAACCGTCACGGTAGCTCATTCGGTAGAGCGCTCGCTCCGTGATCGGGAGGTCGTGGGTTCGAGCCCTGGCCGCGACTGAGCCCCGTGTCACGGCAGGCATTGGCACGATAAAGATTCCTCACTGCTCAATGGCCCTAAGTGCCGAATAAAGGTCTAAATTTGAAGCCCTTCAACGGTATATGGTGACGTCTCCATATGAGTGAAAAATTCTCGAACGGGAGGTAAAATAACATACAATCAATCAATCAATCAGCCCTACACTGTACTTAGGGTCTCGAGGATGTGGGTTTTCCCTGTACTCCATATTAGCTCGTTTCTGATGAAATATACGCCTTAATATATTCAGAGAAAATGAATACAATTTTAATTTTTTTTTAACATCATTAGTTTTGATAAATGTGAATTGTGGTGTTTGCACTTGTATAAATCGGGTCTCTGCTGAGTTCGGTCAAAGCGACATCACTTACATCAGCTGTTTGTCACGTGACAGCTTTCCCGATCCTCTACATGGGCTGACGTAGATATGGGAGTCCTTAACCTAGCTGCGTACGTCTATGGTGAAAAATTCAATTATTACCCTAATTTTCTTCCGTTGATAACATTAACTGATTTATATCGCTATCAGTCAACAACTACATCTAGAGAACTGTTGTACTCTCAAGAATATGCTTTGCCTATTTCACCGATTAGTGTTTCTGTGAGTTGTAACCTAGAATTGGAATTGTGATCTGCTTTATTGGTGTCAAGTAAGTTAAGGTCTTAAGCAGTGTTGTCATAAGAATCATGCAGGTTTGCATCAGTGAAACCATGTATTAAATGATATGTAGAATCCACTGAAGTGAGGTTATTTCAGGTAATGGAAATGTTTCAAAGCATCACCAATTTCTTTTGATATGTCTGTCCTTAAAGACTTTATGGATGGTGGTAGTCAGGGTTGGGGTCAATTACTTGAAAATGTAATTAAATAGATTCAAATACATTGATAATTTTGTAAATTACTTTCAATTAAAAATACATTGATTTTAACAAATGTAATTAATTACTCTCAATTACTTTGAAGAATGTTATCAATTACTTAAGGTCAGACGACATGTTCGTCAATAATTAATGATTTTTCCCAAGAATTTATCATTGAAGTACTGCTATTTTAACACAAAGAATGAAGTACTTTTAGTTACCAGGCATTTGTGCAAGATACCAGAAGGTGGAGTTTCTTAAATAATCCTATTTGAAAACACCTGGATTGTCAAAATCACAATTTTTTATTGTATTTATTTGCTAAGACATTTTGAAAACAGTTTATAAATCACAAGATAATGCTAATTTTATGAATATTTCTTATATTTGACAACGAAAAACTATACAGATATTTAAGGAAAGTGTCGTCAGACCTTAAGGGGGCCGACTGGGGTTTTCATTGCGCAATACTTCGCGCAGCATTGTAAAATAAAACGTATTTACTGTTTTAAAGCAATCTCAGTTTTAAAAATCTAATTACTTTTTTGAATAACGATTTTTCAAATGATGGGTAGATAGACGTCGTAATAGTGTGTTTTTGACGTTATGAATAAACGAAGTTCTTTAAGCGGGGTCATTAATTATGTCATAAAATAAAAAGTATAAAATAGATGGTCATGAAATTTTATACATAGGAAATTGAGAATCTCACAATCATTTTTTATAATTTTTTATGTAAATCTGTGATATCAGTCATGTTTTGTTGTACTCCATAAAACAGGAATATATCGTGAATTTTGATATTTTGAGATGCCCCCTCTGGAAACCAGAGGGTAGAATTTTGTCTTTCTTGCATGAAATTTACAATGTAGTATTACCCATGAAATAATATAATTTGAGCAAAAAGTCTATAGTAGCATTTGTATTATTTGCTCCGAATGGTATTTTCCTATATAATCCTATATATATATATGTACCTGTATTTTGAGATGGTCCCTAAAAATAACCAGACGGTAGATTTTCACTAAACTTGGCATGTATACTGAAGTCATTGAAAGGTACATATGGTATAAAATTAAAGAGTTTCTCTGTAGTAGTTTTCACACAATAAAACCCCAGTCGGCTCCCTTAAGTTTTATTTCCAAATTCCAAAAATTTTGAAGAACAAAACATGAATATTTTGAAGCAGCAAAATAATTAAATTTGACCTTTCCTATTGCCCTGGGCTGTGTGTTTATGCTGTATAAACATTACTAGGCATTTATTGAATAAACACAACCTCGAGCTAAGCAGTACTGGTATGCATCATTATAAATCACCTTTTTTAATATTTAACTTGAAAAATAAAGTATTTGAAATGTAATTGAAAAATACATGACATTTTTGAATTGTATTTAATTACATTCAATTACTTGTCATTGAAAACAAACTTAATTACAAATGCAATTACTGTGAAAAAATGTATTTAAATACAGTAAATTACAATTACTCATTTCAATTACCCCATCCCTGGTGGTAGTTTTTCATTGCAGTTTAAGTTTTTGCATAAATATCTACGAATTTTCAGTATTAGATTGAATATTCAAAAGGATCAAAGGCTTTTACGATTCTCTCAATACCTATGTTTTGGAGCCACAAAATCCTTTTTTGTCTTTAATCAATCCTTGCATTTTATACAGTTACTTCTTGTAGATCAAACTTATACCAAGAACTTTTAAAAACAATATTGTCTTTATCTACTATTTTTTTGACTATCGAATATACCTGATCAATACGGCAGGTGTTACCGATCAACAAGAGATGCTTACCCTTCATAGGCACCTGATCACACCTCTGGAATTTCAAGGGGGTCCGAAATACTAAGTAATGTGAGAACGAGAAACTCAGTTATACCTCCGACATATTAAGTCGTTATTACAAAATAATATGTCGTAAGTACGAGATACTAAGTCGTACAAACGACATAATAAGTCGACTTATTACGACTTAGTATCTCGTTATTACGAGTTAATATCTTGTACGTGCGACTTAGTATCTCGTTGTCACGACTTATTATCTCGTCATTTCGACTTATGTCGCACGTGCGACTTACTGTATGTCGGACGGACGACTTGCTGTATGTTTGTACGACTTATTATTTCGTTATTACGACTTATTATGTCGTACGTACGACTAAGTATCTAGTTATAATGACTTAGTATCTCGTATGCGCGACTTAGTATCTCGTTATAACGACATATTATCTCGTTATTTCGACTAATTATGTCGTACGTGAGACTTCCTGTATGTCGTTTGTACGACTTATTATCTCGTTATTACGACTAACTCAATAATAATGATTGAAGCATCCTTTATAACTTTATAAAATTTAGCATTTCAATTAATGTCAAATGTACTTTTAGTCTAAATAATAATGTTGATACATTTTTCGAATTACTGTTTATGCTATTAGAACAAATTTTATGATCCCTAAACTAAAACAGATTTCCTTACCTATAGATCAGATACGTTTAGATTACTCAGGAGATCTTACCTGTTTTATGTTTTGATGAAATAAAATAAATACAAATAGACTAAATCGCACCTGAAAATTACTTACCGTAACAAAAATCCGTTCGAATCAATAGTAGAAAATTTATAAAGAATAGAACACCCATTTTCAAATGAGGAAGTTAAAATACACTGCATACTATTTAAAATTCTGAAGGATATTTAAATGAAATATTTCGGTCACCAAATTGTTCGCAGAAGGTAGTTAGGGGCCATAATAGGGGGACAATGTATGTAAAAAAAATATCTTTAAAAATTGTCTCCTCAAGAACAATTAAACCATGATTAATCATATTAAATCACAAACATTTTCTGATTATGCAAATTCAGATTTGTTCAAATAATGGTCACCGGGATTAGGGATTGGTCGCTACAAGGGATCAAAGTTACACACACTACTGGCTTTCAAAACCCCTGTCCGTATGAAAATCCCATGTCTTCCTCTGTAACCTACAGTATTTCCACAACTATCTACGGTATATCTACAGTATGGTACGGTATGTCTACTCTGTATATACAGTAATTCTCAGTATGCCACTGTATGTATCCCCAGCATGCCACAGTTACCTACAGTGGACCCCAGTACGCCTACGGTAGGCCCCAGTATGGCTACTGCTTCCTACAGTGACCTACTGTATGCAACAGTACATGCCCCAGTAGGCCCCTGTATTGTTCACCGAAACAAAACGGAAGAAGTATACACCTTCCAGAGGCACTGTTTATCTAAGATGTGGGTTTCTCAGTTCAGTACACAGGGTTATTTCCTTGAGAAAATTTTGAACATTATTTTATACACATAGTAATACAACCGGAGTCAACTGATACGGGTCTCGTGATCCACATTAGGCAAAAACTTTACGCATATTTTATCGCCACAAAGAAAATTTCGAGATGTTCAATAATGTTGCCTGATGTGAAATATACATTTCTTGCTGACAAAATAACAAAAAAGAAAAAAAAAAAAAAACACTATAAACAGTAAAACTGTTTATTCGTACATTTCATTATGTTTATATTTGTTAAGAGACTTATTGGGTTATGCTATAACTCTGAAAAGTTTATAAATCATTGCTGCAAGCAAAAAAAAACCCAAAAAAATTATTTTATCAATTAATGTATTTTATTATTTTTTACTTTTTTTAATTAATTAATTAATTTATCTATTTATTTATTATCTATTAATTTATTATTTATTTATTTATTTAATTAATCAATTTATTTATTTATTTAATTAATTATTTATTTATTTGTATGTTTGTTTCATTCCTTCATTCATTAAAAAAATATTTAATTTAAAACATCAAATTGGGAAGGGCATGCATTACGGCCAATGATTCTGCAATGAAGATTTTTTGTTCCCATATAGTATGGCTACATTAGAGACCTACATGTATAAACTAATATATATGCTCCTGCCTAGTGGCTACATGTGCTTGTAAAATATATTCCTTGATGTTTTAATAAACATGAACACGTTGTGTAACCAAGGACTTACATGTATACAACAGTTTACTGTACTTAGTACAAAGGTCCCTAGTGTTAGTATAGATCTCGCCGATGCAAATATATGAAAAGCAATCGGTGTCGATTGTCACGTGGTCAAGCTGGCTATCTCCAAAAATCACACAAATTCAACTAAGTTTTAATAAATTTATTTACAAAAAAATAATAATAATAATAAAGAAGATTTCAAACAGACAACCACACTCTGATCCACACACTCTTCCACACTATTAAACCAAAAAAAAAAATAATAGCAATTGGTAACCAATAATCAGACAATTAACCAATTAACCCCGGGTACAGATTTCACTCAAAGTATCATTGCCAAACATGTTCACAGATCAATGATTATCCTTGTCATAATCATCAACATCATCTTCGTCAACATCATCATCCTCATCCTCGATGCAGGAATGAAATCATTAGGTTTGCCATTTCGTCAGTGTTCGTATAACGAGCTAATACAATGTTACGTGGATTAACTTATCTGTATCTGTCCACCCCCAGTGAATCTTGTTCCACACACAGCATCCTTCCGGGCCTTAGTCCTGGAACCTTTCGCTGTGTCTCGACGATCCCCTCAGCTTAGTGCATGTATCTAGCACATGTCATACCAGTGTTCTTGACGCACGGACCTGTCTCCGTGCCAAAGCCAAGATACTGATTGTATGGCAGCTATTTGCATGTACACTTAGAAACGTGTCTGCAGCTACGCTTCTCTGCCGGGAATGACCAGGCCTCAATTGTTCTGGTCGGCCAAGCTATTTTGCAAGGGCTTATGGGTAGATGGGGCATAGGGACAAAACGCGGGAAATACAAATAATATGTACAAGTATAATAGTGATTGTTACACACCTCCCCCCTTAATTAAAAAAATGGTAACATTTTTTTTTAAACAACAATCACTACCAACTTGTCCTAACAATTTTAAAATAACTAAACGTATTTACAAAATTCTTAATACAAACCTGACTAATTTGTCCTTAGCTGATTATTGGCGACTAAGGTAATCGGCACCTACGTTTTGGCTTCCCTTTATAGCTTCTATCCGGAACCGATAAGGTTGTAATTGTAGAGCCCAGCGCATTAACCTCGAATTCTCTGTTTTGGACTTGTTAAGGTATGTTAATGGCTGATGGTCGGTTTCCAATACAAACTCACGTCCATATAGATATTGATGGAACTTCTGAATTCCCCATACTACTGCTAAGCATTTCTTCTCTACAACAGCGTATGACTTCTCTCTGGGCTGCAATTTTCTGCTTGCGTAAGCCACTGGAAGCTTTTCTCCATGTTCCTCCTGCAAAAGAACTGCTCCTAACCCGTCATCAGCAGCATCTGTTCGTAAAATGAATACTTCACTGAAGTCTGGAAGCTTCAGAATTGGTTCTGAGCATAACATCTGTTTCAGCGTATCGAATGCACGTTGTTGATTATCTGTCCAAACTACTTTGTTAGGCTGACCTTTCTTTGTTAAATCTGATAATGGAGCGGCAATGGCTGAAAAGTTCGGTATGAATTTTCTGTAGAATCCTGCCAATCCCAAGAACGATCTAACCTGCTTCTTTGTCATGGGTACTGGTGCACTTCGAATAGCCTCTATCTTGTTTGACTCTGGTTTCAGTCTCTGGTCACCTACTACGTGTCCTAAGCAGTCGATCTGATCATATCCTATGAAACACTTAGACGGTCGTGCTGTAAGTCCTGCTTTCCTAAGTCTGGTAAATAACTCTCTCAATGCCATTAGATGTTCTTCCCACGTATCTGTGTATACGATTATATCGTCTATGAAGTTATCAACACCTACCATGCCCTGTAAAAGTTTCCTCATGAGTCGGCTAAACGTCGCCGGGGCATTAACTAACCCGAATGGCATAGTACGAAATTGATACAAACCAGACGGTGTTGAGAAGGCTGTGAGAACTTTACTTTCATCTTCCATAGGAACTTGCCAGTATCCTTTACTCAAATCCAATTTTGAAACGTACTTCTTCCCTGCCATCTTTGAAAATATACTTTCTGTGTTCGGCATAGGCTCAGCGTCGAAAACAGTAACAGAGTTTAGTCTTCGAAAGTCTATGCAGAATCTGTTTGTTCCGTCCTTTTTCCTGGCTATGACTACCGGTGATGAATATGGTGAAACAGATGGTTCTATTACATTCAACTGTAACATCTTCTCCACTTCTTCCTTTATGACACTCTCGGTATTGAAAGGAATAGGATACTGCTTCACCCGTATAGGATCTGATGATGTCAGTTCAATCTTATGTTTCACTAGTGTAGTCATTCCTGGAACGTCAGTGAGAACATCAGCATACGACTCACACAAACATTTCACCGATTCTAGCTTATTCGCATCCAGTCCTTCATTGAAACGTACATCTGACACTGTTTCTGTCTGAGAATCTGTTGGTAGCATCATTAAATTCTGCTCATCCGGTGTTCCCTCTTCGCTGAAGTCAATTAGTGATATGGCGCAAGTTGTTAGAACCCCACAGCGTATTTCCTCACGAGGAATGTACTTTTTCAACAAATTCGCGTGAAGTGTCTTTAGTTTACCATGCATCTCAACTTTGTAATCCATATCTCCAACTTTCTGTACAACTTTGTAAGGTCCTCGCCATTGCATCAGAAGTTTATTTGACTTTGTAGGAAGAAGAACAAGTACTAAGTCACCAACTTTCATCCTTCGATCAATTGTTCTCTTGTTATAATGTTTTCTCTGGTACTTCCTTGCTTTTTCCAATTGTTGATGAGCAATCTTGCAAGTCTCTTCAAGTTTTTCCTTTAAATCTAGAATATATTGGTATGTAGTCTTCACCTCTTTGTCTGGTATGTCCTTGGTCCATAGTTCCTTCAGTATCATCATTGGGCCACGCACTGATCGACCATATAGAAGCTCAAAGGGTGAAAATCCAAGGCTCTCTTGAGGTATCTCACGATAAGCAAAAAGTAGTGCGTTGAGGTACTTGTCCCAGTCTTTAGGGCGTTCAGCACACATGCGCTTGAGCATCTGCTTCAACGTGCCGTTGAATTTTTCAACAAGGCCGTTGCACATCGGATGATACGGCGTTGTAGTTAGGCGTTTGAGTGACAGCAATCGGCTAACTTCTTTCATAACTTCAGATGTAAACTGTGAACCCTGGTCTGTAAGCATTTCAGATGGAATACCAACTCTACTGAAAACGTCTACAAGCGCTTCTGCAACTCGTTCAGTTTCAATTCCATGCAGTGCCACAGCTTCTGGATACCTGGTCGCATAGTCTATAATAGTGAGGATATATCTATTTCCTCTGTCTGTGATTGGCTGGAGTGGACCAACAATATCCACAGCAATGCGTTGAAATGGTTCTGATATCATGGGCATTTGTCCAAGAGGAACTGCAGGTACTTTTCCCTTAGGTATTGTTCGTTGGCACACGTCACATGAACGACAAAATCGCCTGACGTCTGCTTGTACTCCTGGCCAAAAGAATTCTGCTAGTATTCTGTCTGTGGTCTTCTTAACACCCAAGTGGCCTGCCATAAGACATTCATGAGCCATCTTCATAACCAGTGATCTGTACTTTTTCGGAACCATAAGCTGTCGATAAGTCTTTCCATT